TGATCCAAAACTCACATTTGTTTAACTTGGCATACAGTTTGTGATCACGTAGTGTCTATAGAACTCTTCGCAAGTGGTGTTCATGATCTTCTGGTGATTTGGAGTATATGAGAATCTCGTCAATAAGACAATGACGAACTCGTCAATATAGGGTTTGAACACCCAATTCATGAGTCCATAAAGGCTGCTGGAGCATTTGTGATGCCAAATGACATGACGAGGAACTCGTAGTGTTCGTAACGTATTTTGAAGGCAGTCTTTTTGATGCTTTCTATTTTGACTTTTAGTTGATGATAGCCAGAATGCAAGTCAACCTTTGAGAATACTTGAGCACCTTGAAATTGATTGAACAAGTCATTGATCCACGGTAGAGGGTACCGATTCTTGATGGTGACCTAATTCAATTCTTGATAATTGATACACAATCTCATCGTATCATCATTTTTCTTTACGAACAGTATTGGAGCTCCCTATGGCGAGGTACTTGGTCGAATGAAGCCTTTGTCTAGTAGTTCCTGGAGTTGAGTCTTTAATTCTTTCAATATCATCATGGACATACGGTAAGGGGCTTTTGATATCGGTTGTGTTCCGGGTTGAGTTTCAATGGTTAACTCATTTTCTCGATCGACCAGGGTACCAGGTAAGTCCTTCGGAAAGACATCCAAAAATTCTCGAACCACGGGGATTACATCAAGTGTGGGGTCCACTTGTCAAGTATCAATCACATAATAGATATAACTACAACAACATTTCCTCAAAAGTCGTTGGGTCGTCATGGACGATAAAATACATGGAGGGGTGGAGACCTGCTGTTTTTTTCTTCCCTGGCAGTGCTACTGCCTTAATGGGCCTTGTGGCTTATCCCCAACTCATATAGAAGGGTTTTGCACCACTCAAAGGTGCGTACTGAAATTATCGATATATTAGCAGGATTTTATTATTTTTTATTTTTATAAAATTTTAACAGGATTTTATTATTTTTTATTTTTATAAAATTTTAATCAGAAATGCCTTGGACCCAGTGGGGTGACCCCCACCACCCCCACTACTTTTTAATTGGTGCAAAATATATATATATATATATATATATATTTTGCACCAATTCCTTCCACTCACAGCCCCACACGTGGAGGTGGGGGTGCTGGGGGTCTCGCCCAGCTGGGGGTCTCCAGCAAGGTTCAATTTTAATATAGAATGGTGTGTCTTGATATTGAGCTTTTATTTTAAAATTAAATGTCTATGAAAATTAGAGCAATACTGTAGCATTATTCAAGTTAAAAATTAAACTCACTTTTTAAATTGTGTAATGTTATAGTCTACTAAAATATTTTTAAAAAAAGGTTCTCTTATATCATATTTAATAATTCATTAATTATTTTATTTATACATCATTTGATCTAGAAAATTGATCACCAAATTCACTAAAAATTACAGAAAGTTTAACATGTTAAAATACAAGCTGGTTAGACTTAAAAAAATGAATCCAATTTTTGCGTTTTAGGCTTATCTCCTATTTTGTATTTAATGTAATTTAATCAAATAATTATCGATATCCGATTAATATAATTTTTTACAAGAATAAAATACTAGATGAGTCTTACACGAATCAGATCATTAATGTAGAGTTCGTGGTGAGCCCACAAAGACCCAACAATACACTCAAGTCTAATGTAAACTGCAGAGAAGCTTTCCCCTATCTATTGATACATCTATTCCTAGATTTATTGTTAAAATAGTGTTTGTTTATAAAACTAGAAAAATGCTTGGGAGCACTAATTAGTGCTCCCACTAATTAGGTGGCAGTGGGTCCCGCCATTAATGATGTGATATTTTGGTCTTGGAGTTGTATTTTTTTTTTTTTACTTTTTTAATGCATTAGTGCTATTAATGGTGATGTTTTTAGTGGGATGAATCATTATTGATAAAACTATCATTAACACATTTTTTATGTGACATTTTTTTGTATAATGTTTGTGTACTAGTAGAGGATTTTTTGGGGGAAAATTACCACACAATGGTATTTCCAAAAAAATATATTACAATTTCATGGTAAACATTATAATTTTAATAATTAATATTTATAAAATTTACCATTTATTTATAATTATTTTTTTAATTTACACTGAATTGAAAGTTTCTCATTTTTTTTTTTGTAACTCTGTTTTTTAGAATAAATTATACCAACTCTCTTAAAATTTCAAAAATATATTAATTTTTAAAATTGTAATTACATTAACTTTCCATATATTTTATGTTTCCTTATTCTTAACAGTTTCATTTTTTTTTTTTTTTTTTTGGTTTTGATTTGGTTAATCAACAGCTAATAATTTCAATGTAAAACTATAACATCAAATTTTATTTTAAAATGTCAATATCTATCTTTAATTGAACTAACTTCCGAGTTCTCCCAGCCCACCTTTTAATCTCCAGGTACACCTACACCAGCACCACCAGAAAATCAAAAATCAATGTAAAAAAATAAATATTTATTAAAAAATGTAATAAAATTAAAACAAATATAATTTAAATATGTGATTATCAAAATCCATTAAATCATATTTTTGTACATAACAATTAGTCAAAAAGACTAAAAATTAAACAACTTTAAATTAATGAAATGGATTTGAGGTGGACCCATTATGGGACCCTCCAATCCAATTGGTGAGCTAGAGATTTCATTCATTATTTTATGTGGCATAATTACGGTGGTTAAATTTATTTTACACTTGTGGTTTGGAGGCTAAAGCATTTTAGAAAGTTCTCAGGTAATTTTGGATTAAAGTATCACTGTTAATTTTTTCATCTAAACTAATGAAAGGTGTATCATACACACTATTTTTTAAAGTAGATTTGTTTTTCCAAAAAAAAATAAATGAAATTAATACAACAAAAATGCGATTTCACCCACATTTTTTCCAGACTTAAAATTAGATTATTATGTTAATTAAAATAAAACAAAACAAAATATAATTAATGATTGATCTAAAATATAAAATATAATTAAGAATTAATTTAAAATATAATTAAATTAAAATTAAAAAAAATTAAAAATTAAAAATTGATCTGAAATATATTTAAATTAAAATTAGATTAACATGTTAGGAATTACAATAAATAACTAAAAATTTAGGATTAATTATGAAAATATAATTAAATTAAAATTAAATTTAAAATATAGGAATTAAAATAAATAATTAAACATTTAAGATCAATTGTGACATAAAATTTAATTAAATTAAAGTTAGAATAAAAAGTTAAGAATTGCAAGAAATAATTAAAATTTATAATTAATTGTGATTTAATTGAATTAATATTGGATATTGTAAATTATGTGTTTGAAAGATGAGAGAGAAATAAAATAACAAATATATATGTAAGATTTGAGTGTATTTTTTATGTGGTTTTAAACCAAAGTGAAACTATTAACACTGTTAACTATAGATGCAAAATGACTATAATATCCTCAAATCATATACTCTCTCTCTCTCTCTCTCTCTCTCTCTCATATACACATAATTTATAATATATATCTAACACTAATTCAATTAAATCACAATCATTACAGTTTTTTATTTATTTGTTATAATTCTTAACTTTTTATTCTAATTTTAATTTAATTATATTTTAGATCACAATTAATTCTAAATATTTAATTATTTTATATTTTAGATCAATCCTTAATTATTTTTTAATTTATTTTATTTTAATTAACACATTAATCTAATTTTAGGTTTGAAGAAAATGAGGATAAAATTGTCTTTTTATTGTAATAATTTCACATTATTTTTTGATAAAACCAATCCCACTTTCATAAATGGTGTGTGTGATACATCTTCCATTAATTTGTATGGAAAATCTATCGTTGATACTTTAGCACAAAATCACATGTGAATTTTCTGGTTATATTTGAACCATATGGCTCCATTTGTTTGAAGAGTTAGAGGGAGAATTGAGATTGGAAGTGAGGTGGAACCCACTAACATTGTGTTTCTTTTGAGAGATGGGAAGGGGATTGATAGTGAGCTCCGAATTATGAATCCCCTTAGGAAGGAGATTCGGATGGGTCTCCAAAACATGATATTAGAAAAATAGTTTGTTGGACTAGAAATTTTTTAGTTTTTATTTTTTACATGTTGGGCATTTTTTTTTTTTGAACATTAATGTTTAATTTTTTGTATTTTTTGTTAAGTAAAATCATTATTTTATTTGTTTTATTTTTTACCTGAAATTTTTTATTTTTTTAAAATTTTTTACATGTTGGGCATTTTTTTTTAAAACATTAATGTTTAATGTTTTTTGTATTTTTTTATTTGTTCTATTATTTTATATAAAAATAAGTTAACAATATTTACACTAACAACTATCATCAAAACAAATACAATTTTACTTAATCCACTCACTATCAATCTCCTCACTAACAATCTCTTCATTATTAAATCTCTCATTATAAATCTTTTCTATTTTATCTCTGAAAACAAGCGAGTCATATGGAAGTAAAGTTCTCTAGCTCCAAACTACAAGGGGTAAAATAAATTTAACTCAAAAATTTATTATATGCTTTTTAAAAAAAGGAACATTTTATATACATTTCATTAAATCTAAAAAATAAACGTAACCATTGATCATACTCAAAATTAGGTTGTAACTAACGTCAATTTGAAACATCACGACTACTTTGGTCATATCCGACACCATATTGGATATAATTTCTAATAGATTTGGGGCCCACCAGAACAAGGCCTATAACAAAATACCACAATACTTCGTAATTAACATTATTTTAATTCGTACTTGTACATATAGTATACACCAAGTATATTGTAGCTTGACTATCCATTTATGTACTAATATTTTCCTAACTGTAATCTTTTTCTTAAAAAATGCAGATGCAAGTTATTTAACAAATGGTTACCTAGACACTGTGATAGATTGGATACCAGGCACGAATGGCATACGATTGAAGGGTCTCCCAAGTTTCATTCGAGCCACTGAACTGAATGTCACGACTCATTTCGTTTTGGAAGCAATTGACAAAGCACACGAAGCTTCGGCCATCACTTTCAATACCTTCGACGCTTTAGAACATGACGTTTTAGAAGCACTGTCAACAATGTACCCACCCATATACCCCATTGGCCCTCTTCAGTTTCTCCTCGACCAATTCCCACAAAATCACTTGAATTCCATTGGATCAAGCCTATGGAAAGAAGAAACAGAGTGCCTTTCATGGCTTGACTCGAAACAACCCAATTCAGTCATTTACGTCAACTTTGGCAGCATCACTGTTTTGACACCCCTACAATTGATTGAATTCGCCTGGGGACTCGCTAATAGCAACCAAACATTCTTATGGATCATTAGGCCTGATCTGGTTGTTGGTGACTCCGCGATTCTTCCACCGGATTTTGTGAGTGAGACCAAAGAAAGGAGTCTATTAGCAAGTTGGTGCCCTCAAGAACAAGTCCTCAATCATCCAGCAATTGGAGGTTTCTTGACACACTCTGGGTGGAATTCGACTCTTGAGAGTATTTGCAGTGGGGTCCCTATGTTGTGTTGGCCATTCTTCGCGGATCAACAAACGAATTGTTGGTCTTGTTGCAGCCAATGGGGTGTAGGGATGGAGATAAACAGCGATGTTAAGAGAAAGGAAGTTGAGAGAATGGTGAGAGAGTTGATGGCTGGAGAGAGGGGGAAAGAGATGAAAAGAAAGGTCATGGAGTGGAAGAAGTTGGGTGAAGAGGCCACGACTTGTTCTGTTGGGTCATCTTACTTGAATTTTGAGAAGATGGTCAGGTTTGTGCTTATGTCTGCTGGTTCAAATCAAAGTAGTTAGTGTGTGTGCACATTTTCATCTTACAAGCAATTTCTGAAATAAGTTGTTTCTTTTTTCTTTCTTTTTTTAATTTGGAATAATCTTGTACAAGTATTGTCTTGACAGGGGGTTAGGGATGGATTTGTATTTTGATTTCCATTGTGTCTCAGAATTGTATTATTATGCTTTTTTAATAAAGAACATGTTCTTGTTGTAGTTTTTTTTCTTATTTTTTTTTTTCTATTTTTGTCATTAAATAATGCCATATACATAATTTTAGGTTATTCTTTAATCCAAATAAGCTTTCCTCCAATCAAGATTGCCGAACCCTCTCCCTGCCACCAAAAATGGAACTTGTGTTCTGTAATTTTATTTATTTATTTTTATATCTGACAGCACAAAATATCATAATTTTATTATCATTTGTGATATAATAAACTGAAATTGGTAACATCAATATGTTATTCGGAATTTTTAGAATCATATAGCAAATTTTATTAAAAATTTTATTAGCTTGATTAATTAAGTTGTGTTTGGCAAACCTAATGTTCTAATTAATGTATATTAGCATTACAACTATATAAGTGGGCTCTTAGGCTCATTCTTGAGCTCAAGCATGTTTCATTTGAGTGAAAAATTCTGAAATCATATTCTAGAGAGAGGGTGAACTCCATCTTAGAGAGAGAAAGTGTAGAGATTCAAGAAAAAGTTGGAGATTTCGCTAGAGTAGCTTAAGTTTGTGCTAGAACAAGAGTATTTGAAGGCTTTTGGTGAGCATCTAACCCTTAATTCTTGGAGTGTATATGATTTAGAGTTGAATTCATGAACTATATGAGATTAATTGCATGTTTTAGTTAAAGAATGCCAAGTAGAGGAAGTAGCTAACATGCATGTATAGTTTTGGCATGATTCTTTAGTTTTGATCATGAATATGTTGTTTAAATTGAGTTTTGAAGCT